TCCTGCTCCCATGACAGAGACCATCTCCCCCCAGGACCCCTCCATTCCTTGAACCCCAAGACTCCCTCCTTCGAATCTTGTGAAACAGCCCCTTAGTGTCTGGAGGCCACGGGAAGGTATAGGTGCAGTGTCCTCCCATCTTAGGCTTGGCGACGCCGGGGTTTAAATTTGAATTCTGCCTCTGATGGAACAAGAAGCAATTTCCTTGCCTCTGATAGCCTGCTAAGAAAGCATCCTCGACGCCGGTGTGTACACAAACAGGAGAACAGCTTGCACAGGACACCTTTGCGAGCTTTGGACACGGTGGCCGCTCCCAGCAGAGTTGCTGGAGAGGGTCTTCCGGTCCTCCAGGTGGATGCAAGCACATGCCAGAGACTGCAGGGATATCACTCACTGCCCAGGGGCTCTTCTGTACTGCACACCCAGCCCAATCAGATTTGGCAATCCTGTATGGAAGGCCTTCGGCACGGGCAAGGACCAGGCTCAGCACTCCTCTCTGTAGCCAGATTCCTGCCATCGTGCGTCATTTGAGCCAGCCCTTAAAATTCATGAGAAACCTTAACATAAGGCCAACGCAGCTTCTACCGTGTCCTGGCCATGGTCTTTAGAGAAGTCACCGAAGCAGCTAAATCTCGGTTTCCCAATCTCGTGCAAGACCCTCGTTTCTACCTGTAGTGTGTGTGGGTTTGATGGTGCACATCTTAAGCCCTGTGGTTGGTACCCAGTGTACATGGGCCACTGTGAAATGCTGGAGTCCTTCTTGGGAGGAACAGGCATTCCTGCCATCATGTCAGCACATCAAAGGAAGACCGTCTTCTGTTGACCATGTCAGCAAAGATGCTCAGTCCCCCAAAGGTAGAGTCCGGAGACAAGGACTTGAGCCTCCACAATCTCCCACTCCCCTTGTGGGTACATCGAAGACTCTCTGAGACTGTGTCTATCTATGTGAAGACGGGAATTATTTCAGTTTTAAAAACAACAGGCTGGGAATTGGCTCATAGGCAGCACATTTAAGTCCATACCCAGTAGTGTGAGTTTATAATCTCAAAGTTCTACCTAGAGGTGGAGGGTGGGGACAGGAGAATCCCAGCAACTCTAGGGCCAGCAAGCCTGGCATATGCAGTTATGGTGATATTTTATTTGTGCTGAAATGTGATTTTATTTGTATGTTAATATATAAAGTTGCCTGGGGATCAGAGCTAAGAGCAAGCCATTTAGCAGAAGTCCAGCGGTAGTGGCACACACCCTTAATCCCATCACATGGCAGGCAGAATCTCGCTGTGTTCAAGGACACAGCCAAGAGGTGTCCCGAACCTTTAGTCTCAGTACGAACCATAGAGACCAGGGGGTCTATATAGACAGGCAGTGACGAGGAAGTCATGTGGTTGGGTTTAGAACCAATGAGAAGGCAGAACAGAAAGGCAATAAAAAGACAGGACACAGGAAGGTCTCTCTCTCAGGGGAAGGATGGCAGTGAGTGGTAAGATAAGGTGGTCTTAGCTCTTGGCTGCTGCTCCATCTCTGGACTTTTAACTCTTACTTTGGCTCTGTTTCTTATTTAATAAGACCATTTAGAAAATCATCTATATGTGGTTACAACAAGCCCCTGCCTCAGACAAGGTGGGAGGTGAGAACCAATATCCAAGGTTGTCCTTTGACTGTCACATGTTCCCTGTAGCCTGGATGCAACCTGTAATCACAAGAGAGCTCACACAGGTCCACAACAGCACTTCCTTTTCCTCCCACTAATTCAAATGGAGATGGAAATATCAAATTTATTTGCAAAGAAAAGAAAGTAACAGTGAAGTCTAAATGTGACAGGTCCCCTGGGTCATCTCCCAGGACTTCTGGGAAGAGCCAACCTGCTGCTCAGAGCTGCCTACACTTTGCAGGACACCGGCCCCTTCCTTCCAGGATTGCCTCCTCTTCACTTGCCTCCTCTTCACCCCAGGATTCTTGATGCCGCTATTTTGAGAAACCCTGGGGCTCTGTGAACACCTCGTGACCGTGACACTCAGATTCTTTTTCGCTGAAACGTTCCAAGTCTTAGGGTTTCTTTTTCATTGTCTTGGCACTCAGTTTATCTCGACCAGTGTGTGTGTGTGTGTGTGTGTGTGTGTGTGTGTGTGTGTGTGTGTGTGTGTGTTGGAGGCGGGGTGCACCATGAACACCTGGGTATCACCACACGTGCTTAGAAAGAAGGCAAGAAGGGGAGTCTAACAGCCACTAAGGGGAAATAACCAATGCATTTTTCTCTTTGCCTCTGGTACATTAGTAAGAGCAGGTACCAACTGGCAAGGGGCGGAGGGGGGGGTAGGACCACAGCAGGAAGGTGCGGGCTGCCTGTGCAGCTGCCGGATTTCACAGCCGCCGTAGCCGTGCTGGAAGTGGCTGCACGTGGGGTAACCACCAGTGACACCATGCTTCTGTGTCATGGACTGGACCAAGGACAGGCAGGTGGTGGCCTGCTCATCTGTGCTGGCTGGGGCACACCTGTGACGTGGCCCTGCCTGTCAACACCTGCAGGCTGAGATACAGACACACTTCGGTGAAAGTCGTTTGTCTGAGATGTCCCCCATGGTCTCAGGAATTTGCACACTTGATTCCTAGTTGTGGTGCCGTTAGGGGAGGTCTGGGGGGTGGGGGGGGG